AACAAAAATTTCACGGATGGATAAATAGATGTTTCGATCTACTAACATTCGTTTGCTTGGGTCAATGAGTAAATTTCAGTATTATAGCGGACTTATACAAATAGTTGGCACCAGTAAAAACGAAAATCCAGTGAATGGCTTTGCGTAAATCGAAGATAAATATACCTTATACCGAGTATGACAATTGATTTCGAATTTACCGTCAGTAACTTAAAGGCTGGATCTTTGTAGATAGTCGTTCGTACTCGAATGAAGAACGATGACTTCTGAGCTGCTGTTGGTGTGATAGTGAACTTTCGTCATCACGTGAGTGATGTATAACACACTTATTTTGACCGGGTACGGTTGGTGTTAACGCGTGACGGCATGTCTTGAGTCTGGTAAACGGCATGGTCTCTTGCAATTTCTATAGAACTTACCTTACTCAATGTGATGTTAACACCCATCAGGGTTACTTGTTTCTCGTGTTCTACAGACAAGTCTTTTTCTTGACTGGCTTCTTTAAGGAGTTTCTAAGCATATGTGATTATGGCGAATATTAAGATTACGAGTAAGAGTGTTACAGAGACCTGTACTTTCACTTTTTGTCGATTGAAGCTTTTCTCTGACAGAAAAAACCTCAGTTATGTGTGTCCTAGTGATCTCTAGAATCCGATTGTTTGATGTAGCCAGCTAGTCCACGATACTATTTTGAAATGCGATGAAGATGGCTTGCACCTGTTCAGGAAGCTCAGACAAAATGTTGTCCGGAGAGGCTTTTATCGAAGATCCATTGACTAATGACCGCCTGCATAAGTAGCAACATTTCTGTTGTTGGGACATGTCGCAGTTGTATATTGTGGAAGAGTTTGTCAAACATTGTCAATTTGTTGGATCTCCCCCTTCAGGGATAGATGTTATAAGGTTCGGAAACACCACTAGTAAATATACTACGTGTAATGTAGCCATTAAAATCACGCAACAGCGCCCTCACCGCTGCAAGAAATTATGCACGTCAGCCCGTCACACCGTACTAGTGGAAGCCAGCATATGCACAACAGAATATTGCTTCGATGTTATCAGGCAAGAATGGCACTAGTTGAAACGTCGAAGGCGTAAGAGTCTTAAATTTCAACAGTCTGGGTGTTTGTTCTGTCATAATGAAGATGAAATATATAAATAGACAAAAATATCCGAAGATGAAAAAATATCACGGTATGTAAAATAAAGAATGATGCACAATGTTCTAGTCAGGAACAAACTCAATGTTTATCGTCTGGTGTACCAGACCAGTTTGGGTTCACCATTATAGATGTCACAAATATTCAGGTTTTGACAACGCTTTTGTCTGTAACACGTTTGTAATTGACGGTTATATACCCAGCCAGATCAGAAGTAGGGACAGAGTGTGTTCGAAAACATATTAGGAAGGTTGTTAATATGTCGAAAAGCGTATGACATAAGCTGGTCAGTAATTGCAAAGATGCATATCACGGCAAACCTACTCGTGATGTGATGTGTATGCGTGATTAAAAGCCCTCGTCTAGGTGTGTCCAGTAAAGCTAATCAGGTCAGTATCAATATCGAAAACACACAAGACGATTTATTTTTGGAATTTATTTCCGTTACAGTGTCCACAATGTTAAAAGATATTAAGTCGTCAGAACTATAAAGCCTGTAGTTCTTCTAGATTTGCTGCCGGTCCCAAGACCGCGTAAAAGAGGAGCGTTGAGCATGGGGTTAGCGTCCCCATCCCGTAGAAAACTAACTCGCTAAAAAAACGCTTACCAGAAAAAATAATCCAAACCATTTTAACTCTGCCCTGGGAGTTAGAAGGTCTTCATTTAGAAGAATTATGACGCTTCATGGTGAACGTCGGGCTCCTTTGGAAGCCACGAGGCCGATGCCCCTTTCTAACAACCAGAGCAACAGTGTTTATAGGTACATGGAACGTTCGAACAATGTGGGAAACCGGGAAGACCAGTCAAAGAGCAATGGAAATGAGGAGATACAACTTAGCAGTACTGGGAATCAGCGAAACCCACTGGACCCAAGTTGGACAGAAAAGGCTAGCTACGGGAGAGACGCTGCTATACTCCGGTCACGAAGGGGAAAATGCTCCACACACTCAGGGAGTCGCTCTGATGCTGTCCAAAGTAGCACGAAATGCACTTGTAGGATGGGAATCTCACGGATCCAGAATCATCAAAGCATCATTCAAAACAAAGAAAGAAGGGATCACAATGAATATTATCCAATGTTATGCACCCACCAATGATAGCAACGACGACATTAGAGATCAACTCTACGAACGGCTGCAGTCAATCATTGAGAAGTGCCCAAGAAACGACCTCAATATTTTGATGGTAGATCTAAATGCCAAAGTTGGAATAGACAACACTGGATATGAAGATATTATGGGACGACATGGACTGGGAGAAAGAAACGAAAATGGAGAAAGATTTGCAAATCTATGTGCATTCAACAAATTGGTCATAGGAGGCACAATATTTCCACACAAGCGTATACACAAGGCTACATGGATCTCACCGGACCACATCACAGAGAACCAGATAGATCATATTTGCATCAACAAAAAATTCTGAAGGACAATGGAAGATGTGAGAATCAGGAGAGGCGCTGACGTAGCTTCAGATCACCACCTAGTTGTGGCCAATTTAAAACTGAAGCTTAAAAAGAACTGGACAAGTGGACAAACAGCACTACAAAGGTTCAATACTGCCTTCTTTCGAGATACTGACAAACTCAATGAATTCAAGATAGCTCTCAACAACAGGTTCCAAGCCTTACAAGATCTACTGAAAGAAGAAGAAACTAGTATGGAGGACAACTGGAAAGGCATCAAAGAAGCATTAACTTCAACGTGTCAAGAGGTTCTGGGTCTAAAGAAATACCATCATAAGGAATGGATCTCTATAGAAACACTGGACAGAATCAAATAAAGGAAGAACAAGAAAACAGCAATAAAAAACAGCCGAACACGAGCAGAGAAAGTCCAAGCACAAGCTGAATACATAGAAGCAAACAAACAAGTGAAGAGCAGCATTAGAGCTGATAAGAAGAAATACGTGGAAGAACTAGCAACGACAGCAGAAAAAGCTGATAGAGAAGGGAATATGAAACAGCTTCAGGATACAACGAAGAAACTAGCAAGGAAATACAGTAAACCAGAGAGACCGGTCAAAGACAAAGAAGGCAAGCCAATCACCGAAATTCAACAACAGCGGAACAGATGGGTAGAATACTTCGAGGAACTCCTGAATAGGCCGGCTCCAATGAATCCATCGGACATCGAAACGGCACACACAGATCTTCTCATAGACGTCAACCCACCAACGAAGGAAGAAATCAGAATGGCCGTCAGACAAATCAAGAACGGGAAAGCAGCGGGTCCGGACAACATACCAGCTGAGGTACTGAAATCAGACATCGAAGCAACCACAAGCATGCTTCATCTTCTATTCAAAAAGATTTGGGAGGAGGAACAAGTGCCGATGGACTGGAAAGAAGGGCACCTCGTCAAGACTCCAAAGAAAGGAGATCTGAGCAAATGTGAAAACTACAGAGGCATTACACTACTGTAAATACCAGGGAAAGTCTTCAACAGTGTTGCTGAACCGGATGAAAGATGCAGTAGACGCCCAACTTCGAGATCAACAAGCTAGATTCCATAAGGATCGGTCGTGCACAGACCAAATTGCAACACTACGGATCATCGTCGAACAATCAGTTGAGTGGAACTCACCACTATACATCAACTTTATTGATTATGAAAAAGCATTCAAAAGTGTAGATAGGAGGACATTATGGAAACTTCTTCGACACTACAGAGTTCCTGAGAAGATTGTCAATATTATCCGGAACTCATACGACGGACTACAGTGCAAAGTCGTGCATGGCGGACAGCTGACAGATGCATTCCAAGTAAGGACCGGAGTCAGACAAGGCTATTTACTCTCTCCCTTCCTCTTTCTTCTGGTGGTCGACTGGATTATGAAGACCTCGACATCTAAGGGAAAACACGGAATACAATGGACAGCTCAGAATCAATTAGACGATTTGGACTTCGCAGATGACCTAGCCCTCCTATCATGTACACACGAACAGATGCAGATAAAGACAGCCAGTGTAGCAGCAGTCTCTGCATCAGTAGACCTCAGCATACACAAGGGGAAAATCAAGATTCTCAAATACAACACGGAGAACAGAAATTCAATCACTTTTGATGGCGAAACTCTGGAAGATGTGGAATCCTTCACATACCTGTGAAGCATCATCGATGAACAAGGAGAATCAGATGCAGACGTAAAGGCGAGGATTGGCGAAGCAAGAACAGCATTCCTACAGTTAAAGAACATATGGAACTCAAAACAACTTTCAACCAATATCAAAGTGAGAATCTTCAATACCAACGTCAAGGCAGTTCTACTGTATGGAGCTGAAACTTGGAGAACTACAACAACCACAATCAAGAAAGTACAAGTATTTATAAATAGCTGTCTACGCAAGATACTCAACATCCATTGGCCGGATACCATCAGCAATAGCCTTCTGTGGTAGAGAACAAACCAACTTCCAGCTGAAGAAGAAATTAGGAAAAGACGATGGAAATGGATAGGACATACATTACGCAAATCGTCAAACTGCATCACGAGGCAAGCCCTAACTTGGAATCCTGAAGGGAAGCGAAAAAGAGGAAGGTCAAAGAACACATTACCTTGGGAAAAAGAAGCAGCCATTAAAAATATGAATAACACGTGGGAAGAGCTGGAAAGGATTGCCCAGGATAGGGTTGGATGGCGAATGCTGGTGAGCGGCTTATGCTCCTTCACGAGGAGTAACAGGCGTATGTAAGGAATCGTGAATCTCATTTGCTGAACTGACTTAAATAAGAAACAAAGCCCCAGTATAAGTTGGAAGAATGATAGTAACATATACTGAAAACTTAAACAATCTCTATTCTGTTCTTCATCTGATTAAAGAACCATTGTGTTCTAGCAGTTGTTTTAATATGCAGTGCTTCCATTATTGTGTGTGTTGTTGACTTTTGGCTGTTGTGCAATGGATTCGGCTGATCCGATATATTCTCCTTTTTTCGGTGTGATTGGCGCCGTTTCTGCAGTAGTATTTTGTTGTAAGTTTGGAATTTCTTTCTTTTTATGCTAGGCTTGGGCGCTGCTTATGGGACTGCCAAGTCCGGAGCAGGCATCTGCTCTATGGGAGTAATGAGACCTGAATTAATCATAAAGTCAATTATTCCGGTTGTTATGGCTGGTATAATAGCAATTTATGGTCTCGTCGTAGCGGTTCTTATAGTTCAACGTGGTCAGGATTTGAAGAAACTTGACGTGTAAGTTAACATAACAAATTCATATCAGAACTCAGGTCTCTTAATCAGCTCGGTGCTGGCCTGAGTGTAGGACTTAGTGGTCTTGGTGCAGGTTTTGCCATTGGGATAGTTGGTGATGCTGGTGTACGTGGCACAGCTCAACAATCTAGGCTATTCGTAGGAATGGTGCTTATCCTAATTTTCGCAGAAGTCCTTGGTCTTTACGGATTAATTGTCGCTCTTATTTTGTCCACAAAGTGAACTCCCTTACCTCAACTACCCTACTTACCCTGCTGTCTCATACTAATCAACTATGTCGAAAACATCCATTCTTTTGACATACTTATCAATATAACAAATTTTATGTTGTCTGAAACTAATCCATTGACCTCGCTGAGGAATACACTCAGTGGTGATATTCATTTATCCTTCTACTTAACCAATCAATCCATTCCAAATCATGTACGTCCAGCCGAAATCAATTTTCCTCATATATTGGACGTGGTTAGTACATTTTGATTTTTCATCTTTTTGTAAGTGATATAAAACTGCAAATCAGTAATCTGTTCGTGTCAAATGTTTTATCTGCGACATTTAAATGCATATTCTATTTTCAGTTAGCCTAATTTATTGCTGGACACATGCATAATACTTTTTCTTTGTGGTTATTGTCTTTTTGTATGTTAAGTCGATCCAGTTATACTAAATATAGAGTTTTCCTATCACTGTTAATCATATATCAACCAAGACTTCAGATACTACAGACAGTCTATTTCCAACTGTTACTGTGATGATTTAATCGGTAGATAATGGGTACGTAGTCGTGGTGTGACTAGTCTTGAGCTAGTCAAGATGATAAGATTCGAGTAGCTCCTGCCGAATTCCATAGGTTGCTTTGCTATAATCATTTAGTAGATGGTTCGGCCAACTCGAAGCAACCTGGTTGTCAAGTTTAATATTTCCTAATCTCATTGCGAATGCTCACAGAAATGCGCTTGATTTATCTTTGTCTAGGCGTGTGGCAACTTTGTTATGTACAGTCCAAAGTTATGTTCAGTTGGGCTTGGAATTCTCATTGTCAATTAGTCTTGTTCCTAGGTTACTCATCCCTGTATGTCTTAAACTACTCTTATAAATGCAATTAATATAGTAGCGATTTAAGCCATTTGATATCGGGTCGCTAGATTACAAAATTCAGTATCACTACATTAAGCTGATACAAATGGGTGTATGTTTACATCATAAGCACTAAACAGCGACTAAAAATATGTATTAGAATTGCAACGAAATTAGCAACTATTATTAACTGATTTTACTGAAGCATAATAGATATATTTAGCAATGTTTTACTTAGTTTTTGTCCTTTGCAGCGAGGCCTGCATGTGAAAGCTGTCGTTTGTATTAAGTCCTGGATCTTGTTACTTAAGTGACCACTGTCGAGCAGTTATGTTTACTTATAACTTAGTTGCCCCTACTTTAAGTTCGAAGATTGTTACGAAGCAAGTCACCAATAAATAGTATATTGAAATCCAATTGGGTTGGTATATGGTGCACGATAATCCTAATGGGCTATATCTATGATAACTAAATTCTGTGTTAACATTTTGTTTGCTGAGGCAATATCCTCGTGAGATGTGACAAACTAAACTTAACCATTTGTGAATATTGATTTTTCGTCCTTCATGTATTTCTACAAGTGGTTTGTCAGTCTGTATATAAAGTGAATTCTAATTAGTGGTGGTCACCTAGTCCTGTCCTTATTCTGTATAGCGAGTGGTTAGGTATACTGTTTGACACCCAAATGTTAGCATTACTCAAGTGAATGAGTTCTGTTTAATATAATTTTTCTCAGTGAAATCCGAAAAAAACGAGTTCAATTATCTTTCTTCCCGAGAAATTTTTTGTTTAGATTACTTAAAACCATGAATGAATACATCCAAACATAATCCGATTCATTATTATATTTCGCTGTACTGGTATGTGTGAAACGAGTAATAAATAAGGGTGAATGAGCATCTCTTGAAGTCCAGGTGATAAACGTTAAGGGTTTGTACGTGTTTTCATTGAGCAAATGATTGATGATAGATCGTAGGTATTAAATGAAATGTTGCATCAACAGTTCCACAAGATGCCCAGTTAAATCGCAAACTAGTCTAAACAATCCAATAAAAATCCTACATCATATGGGATAATTACAGTGATCTAGTTGATGCAATGTCGCAATCCTTCGTTTCTTCATATAATAATATGCTCAAATTACAGTGAGAATATCAAAACATGCAAATAATCCAACCAATGAACCTCGAATAAAATAAGATAACCTGAATTGTGTTTCCAGTTGCTGATTAATGTAGATACTTAACTGTATCCTTCGTTATCATCAAAATCAAATGTTTGTCTGGGTCATACAAGTCAGCTGTAGCTCGCTGAGAGAAGCTTTCGGGAGACTGGTTGCTTGTCCTTAATATTTCTAACTAGTATAGTTTTGCAATATCATATTGTTATTTTCTGGTTGTAGGAAAATATGCCACCGACACATCAGTAACTACAAATTTAACGCGAAAGTTGTGCAAGTTCTCGCATACCTTAACTAAAGACGGGATTGGTCAGTTTATTCAAGACTTATGAGAACGCTCTTAGTAATTAATAATAACTCATCAGTAGGATCTATGTTAAATGATTGTTGAATAAATGCAAAAAAGTATTTCTAGGAGTTATGATTTATCTGCACACATTCCCTCTTATTATTTCCTTTCTCTATGGATTCGTCTTCCATATAAACAAATTATAACGACTACAACTTAAAACATCTCTTGAGATCGCTTCTGTTGTTCGAGCATTACGTCAACCAGGTAAAAGGGATTTGTACTTGAGGAGATTACGTAATATGACTTAGGATTGATTGGAGTGACTCAGTTACACTCATCCCACCGACTGCAGCTCAGATGAAATGAAAGATGAATTTTACAGAAACCTATCTGAACTTCTTCAGAAAGCTAAGCGTTCAGACATAGTACTCGTAGAGGGTGATTTTAATGCTCAGATAGGTAGCTTAAACCACACAGAAAGGCATTTAGGTGGATATTTTAGCATTCCGGCACAGCGAACAGATAATGGTGACCGTCTGCTGCAACTGTGCTCAGACAATCGCTTATTTTTAGCAAACACAAATTTTAAGCATAAGGAGAGACATCGTCTAACATGGCGACCCCCTACACCAAACCAACGATGGACTCAAATAGACCATATTGCCATCAGTCATCGTTGGAGAGGGTCGGTAGAAGATTGTCGCTCATTCTGGAGTACCTGCTTGAACTCCGACCACGCCTTAATACGGGCACGCATCTGCTTGCGCCTCACCGGACGCAAAAAAGCCACATTGAAAAGACCCATTAGAACTGAGTTGAGTAACGAGAAAACCAAAAATAGGTTCCAAGAACAACTAAGTTCACGCTTAGGTAGTTCTGAAGACGAGGCTGACCCAGATGTTGCTTGGAAAGACATACAAGCAGCTGTGGAAGCAGCAGTGACATCTATTAGCGACTTAAACCACAGAGTTTCAAAGAACCAGTGGATTCCTTCAAAGTCTATCACACTGATGGATTCTCGCAAATTCATCCCATCAGGTTCCGAACATGATGAAGAGCGACAACAAATCAGATCTAGGTTAAGAAAAAGTTTAAGAAACGACCGTGAGCAGTGGTGGGCAACGAAAGCAAAAGAGATGGAAAAGGCGGCGACTATAGGGAACACAAGACAACTTTACAGACTAATAAAAGAAACTGGAATTAATAAGTCAAGTGTAAGTGAGATTATATCGGAAAAAGACGATACTCTCATCTATTCCCAGTCCAGACGTTTAGAACGATGGGCGGAACACTTTAGGGAACAGTTCAGCTGGCCTTCAGCTACTCTACAACTACCCTCAATTCCCAGACAGCATGAATGGAACATTGGAGTAGGTCCCCCAACTCTTGCTGAAGTTCAAAAGGCTATAGATAATCTGAAACGAGGAAGGGCAGCTGGTCCAGATGGACTGGTTCCAGAAGTCTTTAAAGATGGTGGTCCAATTTTAGCGATTAGGTTGACTAATATTTTAGCTAAGATCTGGGAGTTAGACGTTATTCCATCTGACTGGTCACAATCACTTATCGTCCCAATATATAAGAAAGGGTCAAAATCATCTTGTGACAACCACAGAGGGATTAGTTTAACTAATATAATATCTAAAATACTAGCCTCGATAATTATCAGACGCCTAACTAAGATTCGTGAACTGCAAACACGAGAAAACCATGCTGGCTTCAGACCTGGTCGTGGCTGCATCGACCACATATTCACCATTCGTCAGGTTCTAGAACACAGGCATACTTATCGGCGTCCGACGATGGTGGTCTTTCTTGACTTAAAAGCAGCATTTGACTCGGTAGACCGCGAGGTTCTGTGGCAGTGTCTGTCATTGAAAGGCGTACCTCAGAAGTACATAAACCTTGTGAAGGCTCTTTACTCGAACACTACTAGTCGAGTGAGAGCTTATGGCGAACTGTCATCTACTTTTGCAACCTCAAGTGGTGTCCGTCAAGGATGTCCACTTTCCCCATTTTTGTTTAACTTCATCATAGACCTACTGATGGAAATAACTTTCTCGTCGACTGAGTTCTCGGGTATTGATCTCCATCCAAGAGGTCCACTTATCGACTTAGAATACGCAGATGACATAGTCCTGTTTGGTGAAGACGCTGACAAAATGCAAAGCCTTCTGGTAGCACTGAGCAACAATGCCAGAATGTTTGGAATGCGCTTCTCTCCCTCGAAATGCAAGTTGTTGCTTCAGGACTGGTCTGCGTTAACACCTGAACTAAGGATAGGGGGTGAAGTAGTCGAACGCGTTGACAACTTCACTTATCTTGGAAGTCTGATCAGCCCTAATGGGTTGGTATCGGACGAAATCTCAGCACGGATTCGAAAATCTCGTTTGGCTTTTGCCAACTTACGTCACCTGTGGCGAAGGCGAGATATCCGTCTATCAATAAAAGGACGAGTATACTGCGCGGCAGTCCGTTCTGTTTTACTTTATGGTAGCGAAACATGGCCATTAAGAGTAGAAGACACTCGTAAGCTGCTAGTATTTGACCACAGATGCCTTAGAAATATTGCTGGCGTCTGCTGGGATAATCGGGTAAGTAATAGTGAGGTTAGACGCAGGGTATTAGGAAAGGATGGTAAATCAGTTGATGAGGTTATGAATCTTCATCGACTGAGATGGTTGGGCCACGTGTTACGTATGCCTGAACACCGATTACCACGACGTGCAATGCTATCCGGTGTTTGGGATGGTTGGAAGAAAGTTAGGGGCGGCCAAACCGAAACGTGGCATCAGTGCTTGAAGTCACTAACTTCTAGTCTGAATCATGTTAGTAGATGCAGACTACTTGGTTGGGGTCCGCGTGACTATCGTAACCAATAGTTGGAGACTCTTGGTGACATGGCTCAGAATCGATCACAATGGCGTCGGTGTATACACTCCCTGTCTTCCCTTAAACTAAGAGATTAAAAGCGCTTCATATCTTTCTTTCTACTAACCAACTCTTTCTTCTTGTACTATATCTCTATATGCAATCTTTCTCTTATATATTACCACCTTTTACCTAACCACTGTTATGAATCCGGTGTTCATCTTGTTGTGCTGATGCGGTATGGCAACCTGGACCGATGCACATATGTGCCTGGTCCTACGTTGT